AGAAACTTACTGGCTATGTGATCCTAGGGAAATCACTTACCCTTTCTCATTCTTAGTTTTTTCATCTGCAAAATGGGAATAATAGCACCTTCCTCCCAGGGTTGTTATGAGGATTATAAGTAACATAAAGTGCTTTGCAAACCTCAAACTGCTAAGTAAATGTTATGGACAATAGATGATGTTATGATGTTTCCACTGTATACTTTGCTTCCTCACATGGTCTTTGCAGGTGGAAGGGAAATAGATAGAGCAGGAGCATGACATTGATAGGCCATTCCTGCTGTTAAGAAGATCTACTCTCCAGAGGACTTTATGAATCCCCCAAAAGTCTACTTTCACAGCATCCTGAGAGAAGGGCAAGTCCACAGCCAAATTAGCACCCACGTTGACTGTAAGGCTCCAGAGAGAGCAGGAAAAATGCTGAGGAATCAGGCCTGCAACCTTATTATCAACATATGAACATCCTCCTTTCTCCTCCACCTTGCCTAAGGCTTTTGGGGGCATATCCTGATGGAGTTGGGAATGAAGTGAACACCCATCTCTGCAGAGCTGACCTTGGAGCTGAGCTTATTCTAAGTATAGACAGGGCAACCAGCCACCTAAGCTCTGAATTGCAGCCATAGGCCTTTTGTATTCCACTAGCTATCTAGTGTTGTCCTTCCATTGCCTTGCACCACATTCACACTGTGTAATCTTGGATAACTGACTGGCTTTATTTGGGTGCACCCAGAGGTTCACATGTCCCTTTTAATATATCCCATACAAATAAAGTTACATTGGCTTGGTCATATAGGTCATTCATAATTACTTTGTTTTATTCTGCATGTTTCATTTATATCTTAATACTTTTTTGAGTCTATGATGAGCAGGTTCTTCCAAAGAGCAGGACCCCCTGAGGCATGGGACCAGGGGCAAGGGCCCCATCTGGAAGAAATTAGGCTTACATCAAAACTTTATACTATATTCCACAATATATGCTAAATTGGTATATGCCATAAAAATTAGAAGCAAAGCAGATCATTATACCTCTCAGAGCTATGGGTAGGAGATAACATTCTTAACTAAACAAGGGATAGAAGCAATTACAAAAAAATAAGATAACTTTAATTATGTGAAATTGAAAAGCTCTTGCACAAACAAAATTAAGTGCCTAATATAAGAAAGTGGACAAATGGGGAAAATATTGTGTCCAATTTCTCTAATAAGGGTTTAACATCCAAAACATATGAGTAATTAACATATATGCAAATAAAGATTTAAAAAGATGAGAATACTTCATGTTGGTGGGGTTGTGGGAAGATAGGTGTGCTAGTGCAATGTTGGTGAAGTTGGGAATCAGTATAACTATTTTAGAAAGCAACTTGGAATTATGCAAATAAAGCAACTAAAATATCCCTACACTTTGAGCCAGAGATAACATCTCTATGCCTATTCCTTGAGGAGGCCATTGATAAGAAGAAAGTCCCCATATAACTAAAATCTTTTTATGATAGAGAACTCAAAGCAAAGTAGATGTCCATAGCCCAGGGAGTGTCTAAATAAACTGTGGTACATGAATGTAATGGAATATTACTAAGCTATAAGAAATGATAGATGTGATAAATATAGAGAAGCATGTAAAGATCTACATGAACTGATGCAGAGTGAAGCAAGCAGAGCCAAGAAAACAACACACACACTGACTATAACAATGTTAATGAAAAGAACCAGACAAAAAATGAATATTGCAAAATTGTAAAGAACAAACATGGCTAAAAAGAAGAGTATGAAAAGATAATCCACATCACCTCTTTGCAGAGGTGGGAGGTCCACAAGTGTTCATATTTACATATTTTGGGGCTTTTTTGATATCTTGAACAGTTTTGTTTTTTTCATTTTTGTCTTTAAAAATATCATTTTTCAAATGGAATGGGAAGGAATAGTGGGAGAAATTGTGGTGATATAAAAAAGACATCAGTAAAAACTTATTTAAAACAAAAAAATTCTTTGTTAAAAGGAATAGCTCTCTGCAAAGGGAGGAGAGGGACAGGGAGAAATCTAGGAAATGTAAAAAGAAAAGATCAATAAAATTTCTTTTTAAATAAGTTTTTATTGATATTTTCTGTTTCCTTCATCACCATAGTATCAATGTATCCCTCTATCTTCTTTTCCCCCCTCTCAGTCCCATAAGACAAATAGTATTTTTTTTTAAGAGAGGAAAAAATTCAATATATCTGATTGCTACATTGAAAAAGTCTGAAAACATGTGTGATGTATAACACCTATCGACCTGCCACCTCCATGAAGGGGTAGACTGAGGGTCTCTTCTCATATTTCTACATTTGAGTCCTTACTTGATCTTTATAGTTTTGTTTCATTTACTTTTGATTTTTTGGTGTGTTGCTGTTCTTCCATTTACATAGTTGAAGTTACTGTGTATATTGTTTTCTTGGCTCTGCTTACTTCATTTTGCATCAGTTCATACAGAGCTTTCCATGATTCTCTATATTCATCACACTCCTCATTTCTTGTTGTTGTTCATTCATTTTAAGTCATGTCTGACTCTTTGTGATGCCATTTGGGGTTTTCTTGGCAAAGATAATGAGGTGTTTTGCCATTTCCTTCTCCAGCTCATTTTACAGATGAGGAACTGAGGTAAATAGGGTTTTAAGTGACTTGCCCAGGGTCACACAGCTAGTAAGTGGCCAGATTTGAACTCAAGTCTTCCTGACCCCAGGCCCAGTGTTCTATACACTGTGCCACCTATCTACCCAGTCATCATTTCTTAAAGCACATTAATATTCCATTATATGTACCACAATTTCTTTAGCCATTCCCCAATTGGTGGGCATTTACTTTGTTTCCAATTCTTAGCTAACACAAAAAGTGTTGTTATAAATATTTTGGAGTATATGGGGATTTTTTTTTCTTATTGATGGCTTCCTTGGAGTATGAGCACAGTAATGGAGTCTCTGGTTCAAAGGGTATGGATGTTTTAGTCACTTTATTTTCAAACTTCCAAATTTCTTTCCAAAGCGGCCTAACAGCTCCATCAACAATGTATTAGTGTGCTTATCTTCCTACAACCCCTCCAACATTGAGTGTTGCCGTTTTTTGGTCATTTTTGTTTATTTGCAGGGTGTGAAGTGAAACCTCGGAGTTGTTTTGATTTGCATTTTTCTTCTTAGTGATTTGAAGCATTTTTTCATGTGGTTGTGAATACTTTGCAGTTCTTTTGAGAACTGCTTATTCATACCTTTTGACCACTTATCTACTGGCGGATGGCGATTAGATAGATAGATAGATAGATATTAGTTATTTTATATCTTGGACACTCTAAAACTTCTATTTAAGGAGGGAGCTTAGCTCATCTCATTTTCTCACCTGGCTGCACTGCTGTTATTGTTCAGCTGTTTAAGTGTTTCAGTCATGTCCAACTCTTCATGATCCATTTGAGGTTTTCTTGGTAAAGATACTAGAGTTTTTTTTGGCATTTCCTTCTCCAGCTCATTACAAAAGAGGAAACTGAGGCAAACAGGGTTAAGTGACTTAAGTGCCCAGGGTCACACAGCCAGTAAGTGAAGTCATATTTGAACTCAAGATCCGTCTTCCTGACTCCAGGCTCAGCAATCCATCCACTGCGCCACCTAGTGGCCCACCTGGCACATTGTAAACACAATGTTTATTGACTATTGATTGACACAGAGAGAGCAGGAGAAGCAGGTCTGGGGATTAGTGGATCTGTGTTCTCACCATAACCTTCAAGAATAGATTTGAATGTAGAATAAAAAGGAGACAGTCAAAGCAAAGTTTTGTTTTCTTATTTTAAGACAAGCCAGAGGGGGCTGCGAAGTGACATAGAGGATAGAACCGGCCCTGGAGTCAGGAGGACCTGGAGTAGGAGAAAGACCCCTTGGAATAACAGTGCCATGTCTCTCTCCTGCCCAACCTCCCCCTCCCACCACTGGACTTGTCCCCATAGCCATCATCCAGGGGAACAAGCCCTGTGGAGGAGCCGGCCATACTTACCAACTGCCAACCACAGGGCCTAGCTAAAGCAGTAAGGCACCCTGGCAGAGACAAGACCAAAAGGTCAGGCCATGGCAAACCACTTCCACCACCTCTCCTCTGACCCTGATGGAGAAAGCCCAGGATGCTGAGCCCAAGAACTGCAGAAAGAGCAGCACCATCATCCCAGACCACCAACCCAGCTCCCACAGCTGCCATCCTACAAATCGTCATTTGGTAACATAACTGCTTCTGCAGGTGCTTCAGCCCCCACCTTCTTTTTTCAGTGAGGCAATTAGGGTTAAGTGACTTGCCCAGAGTCACACAGCTAGTGAGTGTTATGTGTCTGGGGCCGAATCTGAACTCAAGACCTCCTGACTCCAGGGCCGGTACTCTATCCACTGTGCCACCTAGCTACCCCCAGCCCCCACCTTCTTAGCACCTGCAGCTTTCACATACCTAGAAATTTCTAATCACCAAAGTCCTCAGTTATCAAACAGTTGTGTCAGGAATTAGATATTATTTTTTTCAGTGGAAATATTAAATAAAATGCATTACCAACCATTCACTGTGCTGCTGCAGCCTAAGACTACAGGGCCTTTCCAAATGACTGGAACCTCCCGTGTTGTCTCCTATTGGAATGTGAGCTTCTTGAAAGCCGAGTCTTGCTTTTCTACTTAAAGCCCACGCCCCACCTCCCCACCCCACACGGAGCACAGTGCTGCTATACAGAAGTGCTTACTAAATGTTTTTTCAAGTGTTCATTTCTGTTTGCCATTTGTTTTCCTTACAAAAGCAGTAGGAAGTACAAGTAGTGTTATTCCCATTTTTCAGATGGAGACTGAAGTTGCCAAAGTGGATTTATCCATGGATGTGCTTCACTTGGTCAACTGTTCCTGAAAGAGACAAGTGAGGAACTGACACCCTCCTTTCTCAGACAGTAACTTTCAGATCTTGAGGTACTAGATGCCAGGGCACACAATGCACTTGAACTCCAACGAATAAAGACACAATTTGGTTTGAAAGAGGGAAAATTTAATGAGGAATCTGAAACGATATGGACTTTTGAGGGAATTATCCAGCTCAACACAAACACGAAAAGCCATCAAAGCTATAAATTCAAAAGATTTTCTGAACAATGTCGAGACCTGACTGTTCTGCAAAAAGAATTCTGTTCCCTCTCCTGGACCCTGCTGCACCTCCTACCCTTAAAGAAAGGAGAGGGAGGCAAGGGGCAGGAAGAAGGAAGGGGTAAAGAACCACAGGGAAGGAAGGACAAGGACAGTGGGCGAGAGAAAAGAAGGGGAAAGAGAGTGAGTGAGCTGGAGCACGGCACTCCTTCGAGCTCCTCTGTGTGCAGGGGTTGGGGGGAGGGGGGAGGGAGGAGGGAGGAGAGGAAGGACCCCAATGCAGGCAGCTATTGTTCCACCCACAAGAAAACAACTATGTATTCCATTCTGATCAGGAAGAGAAGGGCCAAAAGAGGCTGAGGGGAAATCCGATGCATTGCTAAGTCCTTCCAACTACTCCCATCATTCAACAAACATTTATCAAGTGCTCACTATGTTGCAGGCACTATGCTAAAGGACAGGGATAAAAAAACAAATCGAAACAGTACCTCCTCCCAAGGAGCTTACATTCTAATGGGAGGAACAACATGCACACGTATAAGTATTTACAATCTTCCTTCCTCCTTACTAGATCATCTCTAGCCTATTCACCAACTGTCCCCAAGGGTTAAAGGCAACCCTGACACCCCCAGAAAAATAACATAAAAAACCCCCACATCTTCTGCAATTCAAGTTCTAAGTCAAATTTGATGTCCATAATGGGAGAAAGCAGAGGGTTGACTGCTCTTTATTAAGGGATCAGTCAGTGTGGGGTCTATGTGTGTTCGTATAATGAGATTTATTTTTCTGCAACAAGCTTATACTGGAGTGGGCAACTGGAACCAGGATCCCTCCTGCTCCAACTTCCATCTCCTTGGTTGAAGACAAACAGATATTCAAAGCTGGGTGACTTTACAGGGGAGGGGAGTAAGCAGGGAAGGAAGCTGGGGAGGGGTCTTTCCCATATTTTCTAAGCTAAGTCTTTTTATTAGCTTTTCCTCATTGGGGGAGAGGGGATGACAGCTGTGGGGGTACTAGGGCCTGGGCCTGAAGCACAAGACTGGGTTGGGGGAGGTGTCTCAGTGGGGCTCTGGGGGCCCAAAACGCTCCATGGTCTGCAGCACCAGAGCCAGATAGTCCAAGAACGTGGTTATAGAGGCTCGGAAGAACCGTGCTTCTTCTGCTCTCCAGTGGAGAACCAATTTGTTCCCAATGACGGTTAGCTCCCGCTGGACACCACTCCGGCGAGGCTCAGGATCTGGGTCCAAAGAGCGGCATGCAATCTCTGCTTCCAGAGGGGATGGGAAGGGGATTGACAGAGAGAAGTCATAGAAGCCACGGCCATGGCTGTCTATTGTGGAGCTGCTGTCTCCTCCGGGGCCTGGGTGGCGTGGCCTTTGGATGGATGCCTCCATGCCTGAAAAGTCAATTTTGCATCAAAAAAAGTCCAACCCTGTTAATGACAGAAATCCACTTCCTCAATCAAGAATAAAAGAGTGGGTCCAACCACTGAGGGTTGTCCCAATCAAACCAGAATCTGCACAGAGATGACTGCGTGGGTTGTGGTTAGGTGTGTGACTTCATTTCCAGAATGAGACAAGGTCTGGGACCCCAGGGTGGCCCACATCTGTTTGGGTCCACTGATGGTTTGCATGTTATCAATAAACCTCACATTTATCTTAGAGTTAAGTGTGGTTGTGGCTGTTCCTTGAAATACTGGACCAATGAATCTGGAATCAAAAGGAGGATATCAAGGAATAACGAACGAAAGCTGACACGTATCCAGTGCTTTAAAGTTTGGAAAGTGCTTTACATAAACTATCTTATTTCAGCCTCATAACAGCTTTATGAAGGAGGTGCTATCATTATCACCCCATTTTGTAGATGAGGAAACTAAGACTCAGAGAGGTTTAGTGCCTTAACCATAGTCACACAGACACAAAGGATCAGGAGAAGGACTGGAGCCTCGCTCTTGCTGATGCCAAGCAGCATCTAGCCACTCTGCGGTGCTGCCTCAGAGTACACCTCCCTGAGCTGCCTCATTTAGGCTGGCGACTTCTTAGGACCAGGAGTGTATCTGCCTGGGAATCCAGAAACAAAGAAGCACTCTGACCCATGGTTTCCTGTTACCAAACAGCTTCTTAAACCATCTCCCTGGCTGGATGGATCAGAGAAGAATGACCCCTTAGGGTCAGCGAATTGGCAGAAACTATGATAGAAGATGAGCTGATCATCCGAGCACTGAGGTTACAGAGGAGATTGGCTGCTTTTGATGTTGACTGGCCAGTTATAGTTTAAAACTGCACTGAGACTCTGGTGACACTTTGAATAGATATATATTGCCCCCCCCTTAGAACGTAAGCTCCTTGAGGGCAGAGAGGGTTTCTTTTTTTCTGTGTAACCCCAGTGCCTTATCACGCGCATGGCACATAGGTGAAGGATTATGGAGATTTTTGCAAATTTACTCATCAGGAAGAGTCTATTTATGCAAAGTTCTTTACAAACAGTGAACCAAAGGATGTCTGAATCTGACTTTCAGCACTTTTCCTGTTTGCATTTTTGTGCTTTTAATATTACTTTACAGACACACAAAAAATATGTATTTGTTGAAAAGAGTCCCACCTCTGATGCTTAACTGCTCAGTGCCTCTAAACTGCACAGCAGGAACGATCTGCACTGCAGAAGTCTCTGCGCTAGAAGCTCCCTGTACCAATAAAATCTCAGGTCCCATCCAAAAACTGAATTTGATTGGGCGCAAATTACAACGAATCCAAGGGTCACAGATTTAGAGCTGAAAGGGACTGAGAGACCATGTAGTGCCTTCAGCCCATCCTCACACTGCATGATAGCTAGGCCTTTGCATTCACTAGCCTGGTTACCCTGTTTTGGATACACTCAAGGTCAGCAATGTCTTCCCTGAAATGTGATGCCTAGAACTGAGCACAGTATTGCAGACACCCTGACCAAGGCTGAGTACAGCAGGACCTACTTTGTGTGGACACTAAGACACTAAATTAAACCCAAGGTTACATTAGCTTTTTTTGGCTGACATATCACACTGTTGATGAAGTCTACTAAAACCTCAAGATCTTTTTCAAACAAACTACTATCTATTTTATTGTCCTCCTCAATCTTGTACTTGCGAAGTTGATTTTTGGAGCCCATGGGTAACCTCAAATTTACCCCTCTTCAATTCATATTTATCACCCAATTAAGATTCTGGTAGCTGTTAATCTACCCACCTACCTCCAGGACACTCTTTCTTCCTCAATGAATTCAGTGCCTTGCTCATACTCTTTCTCTCTTCCCCAACTCCTGCCCTCATCATACTAGGTGATGATGTCAACATACAAACTGATATTCCCTCAAACACCCTAACTTCCCAGTTTCTCAACTTACTCATTTCCCAAGACCTATTCCCCCACCCTGCCTTAGCTACACAGAAAGGTAGTTTATACTCTCGATCATGCCATTAGCCACAAATGTTCCACCACTTTCATGTACTCTGAAATTTCCTATCATTCCATCTTTCTCTCTGTCCTACAACCTTTAAGCCTGATCTTTCCCCTCACTGTGACCTCCAACCCTGCCCCCCCTTCAGTTCTTTCCTAGGCCATCACACTGTACTAAGTCCTCACTCTTCCCTCCCCATCATGACCACTGCAACTTTAGGCAAGAGGCCCTAGCACCTTTACCCAACCACAGATCTTGCCCTGCCAAGCCCCAGATGTGGATCACTCTCACCATCTGTTGCTTTCATGCCTATTCACAAGCTGGTGAACTAAAGAAATTGTTTGGGTTTGGCCTCCCTTCTGCCACCACTCTGGTAAAGGCCCTCATCACCTCATGCCTTCACTTTTGCAACAGCCTTCTGGTTAGTTTCTCTGTCTCAAGTCTCTTCTCATCCTCCACTCAGCTGTCAAAGTGATCTTCTAAAAGCCTAGATCTGACCATGTCACCCCCGCCTCCCACTTGATAAACTCCAGTGGTTCCCTACGATCTTATACCTCACTTCTCCACACCTACTTTGTGATTCAGTGACACTAGCCCTGTCTGTTGTTGTTTAGCTGGGACTGGAAAGAGTTTTTCAATTCTTTGTGACCCCATTTGGGTTTTCTTGGCAAAGATACTGGAGTGGTTTGCTACTTCCTTCTTCAGTTCATTTTACAGATGAGGAAACTGAGGCAAACAGGGTTAAATGACTTGCCCAGGGTCACACAGTTAGTAAGTGACTGAGGCTAGATTTGAATTCAGGAAAATGAGTCTTCCTGACTCCAGGCTAAGTATCAGCTAAAATACCACCATCTACAGGAAGCCTTTCCTAGTCCTTAATGCTAGTGTCTTTTCTCTGAGATTATCTCCAACTTAACTTGCATGTATCTTGTTAGTATGTAGTTTTTTTGCATGCGTGTTGTCTCTCAATTAAACTGTGAGATCATTAAGTACAGGCATTCTTTTTGCCTTTCTTTGTATCCCCAGCACTTTGCATGCTACCTGACACACAGCAGGCACTAGATAAATGTTTGCTGGCTTGACTGGATGTTTACTACTACATGGAATTACCATGCTGCTATGCTAGATGCTTCCCCCAATCATCTTCCCTTCTCTTCATCCCTTTTACTCAGTCAGTTACCACTTTTGCACAAAACAGTTTTGATGTCTCTTCTCCTCTTAACAACCCTACATGGCTCCTCTCTAACTCCAACACAAAACCCAGTGTCAAAGTCTATAGTCTGACCCCACCTCACAGGTCCAACCTTATCTCCCACTATCCCCCAACAGAAGTCCAATTTAGCTCCAGCCAAGCCTGCACCTCATCCCTGATTCTCTCAAACCCAACACACTCCTTCCTCCTCCTACTCCCCAGAAGTTTGGCTAGCCTCCACAATCTCTTCTCTAATTATCCAAACCCCTATCCATTATTCAGAGTAAGGCCCTCCTTGACAACCCATGGTCTCTAATCTTGCACCTATAAGGTCATGGAGGACTACCTGTCACAACCATCCATTTTGAATAAATGTGAGTAAAGAACACAGAGGGAGGTAAAGAGGCAACTGATGAGAATATCTTATGGAGCATCTACGAGAACAGGCTCAGTCTCCAGAGGAATTCAACTTGGATTAAGGTATCTAGATGGAACTTCACTATGTAGAGAAGTCAAGTGTCCAAACTCAAATCTGCCTCTAGTCTTGGCTATGTAACCAACTACTGTGAGACCCTAAGCAAGTCACTTAATCCCTCAGGAACAAGTTCTTTTTTTTTTTGCAAAATGAGAGAAAAATGCTTGCCTACCTGTCCAAGAGACTTTTGTGAAGACACAATAGGAATAAAAACATGAAAGTACTTTGAGCAGTTAAAAGATAAGTTCACACACCAGATATTTCAGGGCAAGAATGTCAGAGGCCTTTAAGGAGAAAGACATGGAAAAGGGATGGGGTAATTGGGCTGTCAACCAATGGGAAAAGGTCATCTCTGATCTCTACAGCAGGAATTCTTAACTTTTCTTTATGTAAAATGCCCCTTTGGATCTCCTTCTCAGAATAATGTTTTTAAATGCATAAAACAAAATAGCAATACAAAAGGAAATCAATTATGTTGAAATATACTTACCAAAATACTTTTGAAAACAAGTTCACCAGGTTAAGAACCTCTCTACTCAGCTGTGTGACCCTGGGCAACTCACTTAACCCCAATTGCCTAAAAAAAAAAAAAAAAAAAAAAAAAGAACTTCTCTACTCTAAAGGATATCTTATAGCATAGGGAGCACTGGGATCAAGGATGTGATAAATAAGAAGCCCAAAGTGACACTCTCACTCATTTGTTAAATCTATTGATATCCTAATGACAGGGAAGACTCCTTTCCTTATTATTACCTACTCAGAGGCCCTTCCCCTAAAGTAGAGATGCAGCATGACTTAAGAGCCTTCCTAGAGTCAAGTAAAATAGAGATTTGATTACCAGCTTCCTATACTTAAGTAGCTTTGATGACCTCCCTGAAACTTTCTGGGCTTCAATTTCCACATATAAAAAATGGGGAAAATACCTATACACAGTGTGGTTAGGAGAATCAAATAAGGTATGTAAAGCACTTTGTCACTGATAGGATGCTATCCTCCCCCCTCCCCAAATACCTCAGTTAACTTCTCACCTCTCTCCCCAAGCAGGTGAGGCTGATCCTCCAGGTTCACTCTCCTCACTGGTCCAATGACTTCCCTGATCTTCCCCAGGTAAGAAGGGTGGGAACAACTTCAGCACCAAGGTGTATCACTTCTTGTGATTCTCTGGGGAAACTCTTGACAGGAGATCTGAAATCAAGGCTGTCTCCTTCTAGATGGATTCAAGCTTCTTCCACCGCCTTCATCTCGGCTGCTCCACTGAAGCCAAGACCTGGGGCTAAAGGGCAGAGTCACTTTAGTCAGGTCTTTCTCCCCCGGGCCAGATATCTCTTCTCAGCAAGGAACTCTCCCTCTTTCATCCCGGCTTAGGCTAAGTTTGGAGGCAGCTGGGTGGCTCGGTGGATACAGAGCTAGTTGGAAGACCTCAATTCAAATCCAGCCTCACTTACTTGCCGTGTGACCCTAGGCAAGTCACTTAATCTCTGTTTGCCTTTATCCACTGGAGAAGGAAATGGCAAACCACTCCAGGATCTTTGCCAAGAAAACCCCAAAGAAAAGTTGGACGAGGCTGAATGACTGATCAACAGCAGCAGCAAGCCGAACAACAACAATGGGACAATATTATCAGTCTGGAGCAAAGGCCCTGAAGAAATGCCAAGAGACACAGACACGCACACACATTCACCAGCCATACTGGGAACACCAAGCAGCCAAAGCAGGCAATACCAGCAGAGGCGCCGGGCCCAGAGAGCTAAGAACGGCCGGCCGGCCCGCACTGCGCAAGCGCCGGCTGCGGGCTCCTCGGAAACCTGGGCACACTCGCCCAGGCCTCCGCTGTGCGGAGGGCCTCACGCCTGGGACACCCCGATTCTCACGGTGTGGACGTTAGCCCGCAAACCCACACACATCGACAGAACGCAATCACACAACCGCGAAAAGACACAACTCAGGCACTAGCTCACAAACTCACACCCGCATTGACAGAACGTGATCACGCACGGGAAAATATGCAACCGCACACGACAGGACAGGTCACGCACACAGCACGCGCACAAACGCACGCACGCGCATTCACAAGCTCGCCATCTCCCCCACGACACAGCTCACACACACTTAGCATACCGTCTGGGCGGGGGCCCTCCCGCGGGTTCGCCAGAGCCGCCCCCACGTGCCCCCGCAACCCGGAGATCAAAGGCGGCCAATGCTCCCGAGAAACCCGCTGAGCCGCGGAGGTCGCTGGGAAACTGCCTTTGGGAGCAGCCGGGTCACAGCCCAGAGGATTCTGGGAATCGTAGTTCCCCGGGTCACTCTGCACAAGCGTATTTTCGTATCGATCGGGGTACCTTCCCTTTTCTCCTTAGTTATATGGTCTCTGGCTTTCACAGGGATGATCTGCATGTGAACTTCCGCGACCGTGACTGATGGTAATATTAACCAATCATATTTATATAGCTCTTTAAAGTTTGAAAAGCTCTTTTCATCCATTAGCGCATATGTGAAAATGCATCTAACACATTCTTGCTAGTAGACACTCATTGTTAAATTTTATGTCAGTCAATAAACAATCAACATTTATTAACAGCCTACTATGTGCCAGCCACTGTGCTAAGCACAGAGGATTAAAAAAGAGGTAAAGGACACTAGCCCTGCCCTCAAAGAGCTTACAATCTAATAGGAGAGACAATAAGCAAACAAGTATGTACAAACAAGCCCTATATGGACTTTATATGTATATGTGATTGCCCTTCCTTGTCCAAGAGAACCCAAATGACATCATTATGTTAGAGTCAAGTTACAGCGTGTCCAACTGTGGCTGATCAGACCAATAGAAGCTCGAAATGCTCTACCACAGGTCAGGCACAAATAGTCCATGTGAGCATTTGGAGTGTTTTCTCTAAATTGGCTTATCTTGGAGTTAGTTTCTTTTGAGCTACTTCAATTCTGCTTTGCTCATAGAGCACTGCATCTTCTCTGATGAGGCCACACCTTGCTGGGGGTTCCTGTGCCAATGTCTCCCATGTCATGCAATCATTTCCAAAGTTCTTAAGAGAGAGTTTGAGAGGGTCCTTCTATCACTTTTTCTGACCACCATGTGAGCACTTGCCCTGTGTGAGTTCTCTATAAAATAGTCTTTTAGGCAAGAGTATGTTTGACATTCAAACCACGTGGCCAGCCCATTGGAAGTTCTCTCTCTATAGTGGAATTTGAAAGAGTGGGGACTTAAAGGAAGCCGGGAGGTAGAGATGAGGAAAGAGAAAATTCCAGGGATGGGAGATAGCCAGAGAAAGTACCTGGAAGGGAGAGATGATGTTGTTGAGGTTGTTATTACAGGATCAGCCAGAAGATCAGCGTCACTGGATCTGTACCTGTAGGGGAATCATTTCTCAGTGTGAGTAATTTTTCAATAAGCAATTTACACCTCAGAAACCAGGGATTACTTCAAATCAGCATTTGATTTTTTTTTTTATTTTCTAGGTTTGAGAGAATGTTAACAATTCAGATTCAACTTAAAAATGTGTGTATGTTCCACCCCCACCCCCCCACCCAGTGGAGCCCAGTTGTTATTTACCAGCACACTCCCATATTGCTCTATAAACACTGTTTAAGCTCAATAGAACTGTAGCAGAAGGCTCAGGCACTGAAGATATCACCAGACTGGAGGCCTTGTGGCTGTAGATTAATAATAGTAATAAGAATAACTGACATTTATTATAGTGCTTTAAGGTTGGGAAAGCCAGCATTATTCATTTGAGCCTTACAAAACCCCTGCCTTCATGGATACGTTTTCATCCTCTTCTCTAAAAGGAGATGTCCTTCTTATTCGGAGCGCTTCTAGCTTACATCCATTACACATAATGCTTGCTAATGATTTTAGATAGATGCTACTTATCATGTTAAGGAAAACTTCGTTTATTCCTATGGTCTTTTTTTTTTCTTTTCTTAATAAGAATGGGTTCGGTGTTGTGTCCAAAGCTTTTCCTGCATCTATTGAGATAATTATATGATTTCTGTTAGTTTTGTTATTGATATGGTCAATTATGCTGATAGTTTCCCTAATATTGAACCAGCCCGCCTTACTGGTATAAATCACACCTGGTCATGTTGTATTATCCTCATGATGAATTGCTGTAATCTCTGTGCTAATATTTTATTAAAAAATTTTTGCAACAATATTCATTAGGGAAAAAAATAAGGAGAGATGTCCCTCATGACCCTGTCATTGAATATTTTATCTCTCTCCACCTTCTCTCTTAGTGGGCTCATCTCGAAGTTTCAATTGTTAGTGTTATAAAATTGACTATTCAAACTCATTCTCTCCCCCTGAGTTTCAGTCCCACTTTTGCAATTACCTACTGAATATTTCCATCAAGATGTTCATTCAGCATCTCAAACTCAAATACTTATCTCTGTTGATTATCTCCTATTGATCCTATATATATCTTATATATTTATTCTATATATAGATAGTTGTTTGTATGTTGTATTCCCCATTAGACTGTGAGCTCCTTGAGAGCAGGGGCTCTTCCCCCCCCACCCTTTTTTTTTTTTGGCTAAGCAATGGGGTTAAGTGACTTGCCCAGGGTCACACAGCTAGGAAGTGTTATGTGTCTGAGGTCGGATTTGAACTCAGGTCCTTCTGAATCTAGGGCCGGTGCTCTATCCACTGTGCCACCTAGCTGCCCCCAAAGTATTTGTGGATGTTTCCCCCCTTTTTTGTATCCCCAGAACTTAGCAAAATACCTGGGTACATAGTAGGTGCTTAATAAATGTTTATGGACTGATTGACTGAACTCATCTTTCTTCCCAAACATCCCCCTCCTTCCAACGTCTCTATATCTATTGTTTAGACCAGAGGTGTCAAACAAGCAGCATTTTGACTGCAACAGTTTAGTCTGAACAGGATTGAAATGTAATTGAGAAATATTTAACAAAATAAACACTCAGTAGAGTATAGATAATGTTAATAGATGTTTTAAAAGTCAATATGCAGTCCACAGGCACAGGGTTAAAGACCCTCTGTTTCTATTTGGCTTTGACACTGATAGTTTAGACCAAGGCTTCTTAAACTTTTTCCACTCTCGATTCCTTTACCAGTTTTGGCAGCATTGGCACTGTGTGAGCGTGACAGCATGTGCAGTGCAAAGTGCGCATGTTGTGTATTCAGAACCAAGGCTACACTGAAGTTGCGCAATGCAACTTGGTTACTATGTAAAGGGACATCTTTCCCCAACACTCAGGTGACATGGGAATGCTTTATGATTCCAGAAGCTTTGGGTCTTCTTCTCCCTGGGGCCCTTGGCAGTATGTCCACTAACATGACACCAGCTGCTCCTTCCCAGGCCCATGGCAGAGGCAATAACATTGCTTCTCTTGTGACTGTAGATCTGCATGATCCAGGATGGGTCTCTGAGAGATATGTCCCATCTCTGGGACTGACTGAGACTCTGCAAACCTGGATTGGGAAAACCCAAGAGAATAGCAGTAGCAGATGTATCACCTTCAGACCACAGGGAGAAACCTGACCTTATTATGAACTTTCCTTCTTGGCCACTATGGTTAAACAAGTAAGACTACACATAGCAAAAAGATGTGAAATAACCACTGATTCTATAAAAAGTGTACCTACACAAACACTTGGAACCCAACACAGTTACCTTCTAGGCTTGCATGTTGGACTTGGCAGCATCCTCTGGGTTCCATTGAATGTTTCTAAACTCCTGACCTCTAGGGAGTAATGCCACCAAAGCTTGAAGGGATGTTTGCTCCTAACTTCTCTGACTCTTACCTTTGCGTCCAAAGAGGAAGAACTTCCCAGAAACAAGACAAGGGCCAAGTCTGGCCTCTAAAGTTGCCAGGGCAGGGATCAGTTGCCTTCCCCTTCCTGCAAGAGACATAGAGGCCACTTCATCTATACCAGGGTTTTAAATCAAGGATCCATAGATAGATTTCAAGAGGGCCATGGATTTGTTTTTTAAATTATTTCAAATAACAATTTTAATATAATCGGTATCTCTATCACTCTATAAATTTTATGTACTTTAAAACATTATTCTATGAAATGGTGCATAGTCATCACCAAATTGCCAAAGGAGTCCATGACACAAAAAAGGTAAGAACCTCTATTCTAGACCTTTCCCAGGAAAACACCACTAACTCCTCTATGGAAGGGCCTAAGGAATGGAGAGGCAAAGTTTGCTCTTTGCCATAGTGCCACATGAGACTCTCCAGGAAGCCTAACCTCACTCATTAGGTATCTTCTAGGCACTAGAACAGAGATGAAAAGGAGAATGAAATGTAACAGACATCCTGAATTGAATATATCCCCAGAAAATTAAATGCTTTTTAATCTTCTCTTTTCTCTTTCAAAATTTTCTTTGCCAAACCCTTCATATTGTAAGAAAGAAATGTAGTGGGAGAGGAAAGAAGGGGATCAGAGAGAAACATGCAGTTTTGGAATATAAAGAAGTTTAGAGGGCAAGGGAAGAGGTGAAGGGAAGACTGCATGGGAGAGAGGAAGAGGACAAGTAGTAAGGGTATTGAACATTAACATTTATGCCACTCTCATCTCCACTAAATAAAAAAAGGTCATGAATGACACTTTCCCATTTTAAAGTAGCATTCATTCACTGAAAAGGTGGAAAATAACAGAAGACTAAGGAAGGGAAGCCTGCAGCAGTGGAAATGCATTGCAGTGAGGGGCCAAGAGCCAAGATTGCCACTCTTTTCATTGTGCCAAAGTTTAGCCTGGACAAGATGGGTTTTTGGTTGGCCAACAAAAACAGCTGTTTTTCCTGTTCAAGAAAGATATCCAGAAATTAGGAGGAGGGTACCCTTTTATTTGGAACTGTATTCCTTAGTCCTCCTGACCTCAAGGCCATCACCTGGAGATAATGGTATGGTCTGTTTTGGGGGTTATCAGTCACTCTTCTCTGTTTCTTTGAAGAACCCAGTCGAGCAAAGTAAAATGGTTGTTTTCCAGAGAGTCTTTTCTTCTGATAAAGAAGCTTTCCAGGGTCAGAGAGAAGAAATAGCTCTTTGCTAAATTAGACCTGCAGACATGAGTCATCCCTAATACCTCAGTCTTATCTTACTTGCTTTCAAGCACGGTGGCCTGGGCTTCTTCAATAGAAGCCTATAGTACCTTCATCCTCATTTACAACATTTCTTAATTCAGGAATAAAGAGATGTACAATAGATCCAATCCCAAGACACAAAGGGGTACTGTAATCATTTTTATTAGCAAATTTGTCTACTTCTTAACTCAGGTATGCCTGAGGGAGCAAAGGTAAAAGACTACCTGGCATATATTTTTAAGATTGTAACATATATCAGTATCACATCACAAGCCAGCACTTCTGCTTTCCTATGGCAGGGATGTGTAAACACTCCTTGTTCTTCTGTTTTTGTTGGTTCTCCTAATCTTATATGCATTTGTCTGAGTTCTTGCTTGGTTTTACAAAGCATTGCTCTGTCACTCACAAGGTCATTTACTCAGTTTTCTTTTTTTATTAATTAATTTGATTGTATAGTATTACAGGGATATTATTTTTATACATAAGCAAATAAGCTGTTTGCACAAATTATTACTATAATACTACTATATATCTAGTCAAGGACCTCTATTTGGAAAAAATAAAGAGATGCCCAATGGAGTGATTGCCTCTTGCCATATCTTTCCCTATAAACAGGCTTCCCTTGTAATGCTTGCTGGCACTGGCTTTTTAGGTGTGATTTTAAGATTGGATAAAATTCCAAGCTCATACCATGGATGCCTACAAGCTCTTCTAGTTCACATCCCTCTCTAGCCAAGAGGAGGAAGGGCAAGAATAGGCCTTCCAAGGCAGTGATTAAGGGAATAAGATCCATCCTCTCTATACTGGCGATTATCATATAGTCCCACACAAGGAAGATTATGATAAATGAAACCATAAATACAACAAAGACTCACTCTCTTTCCCTTTGCAATCTCAAATGCCAAATAAGAACAGGAAACTGGTGTTGGGGTTCAGCTTTTATGTTCCTTTCCTAATTCCTATTTGGTTCCCCAAAGTCTGATCTCCACAGAGCTATGGAGGCCACATCTCATGGGGTACTGATATTTAGATACTTCCTGCACTTGCTGAAACTCTCTCCATCCTTTTGTGGGGGGGAGGGCAAGGGGGGGCAGAAACTGAGTGTCCCTATCCCACACTTATGCTGGAAGCGCAGTCATTCATGGACCTGAGATTACTGAACAGAACCTTTGACCCATTCTTGTTTCCAACCTGGGCCTGTTCATCCTACCTTAATAACCTGCTTCTAGGGAATCATCATGCCAGACTTAGTATGGACACCAGATCCACTTCTGCCATACTGAAACTCCAAATTTCCAAGTTCAAGCAATCTACCAGCCTCAGCCCCAATAACAAAAATTACAGGCATGGGCCACCACGCCCGATTTTCCATACTTTAAGGCTCAGTTCAAAGCCTCTCATTCTCCTGAAGTCTTCCATGATACCCCCAGTCAGAAATTATCTTTACCTCCCAAAAATGCTCATAATGATGATGATAATTACATTAATAAGGTACTTATTATTGATGTTGATGATGATGATTATAACTGAAATTAGTAGAGACCTTTATGGTTTATAAAGCCCTATGCTTTATCCAAATCCTATGAGGTAGGTATTACAAGCATTGTTATTATTATTATTATTGTTATTAGCCAGATGATGATACTGAGGTTCAGAGAGGATAAGAGAGGAACTTATTCATAGTCATCTAATTGGGAACTGTCAGAGCTGAGATGAGAACTCAGGTCTCTGACTACAAGTTCTGCATTCTTTTCATTACCACACATCATCTCTCATGGCACCCTCCTGGGGCACATACAAAATTTAGATAAAATACGTTTCTCTTACTTAGGAAACTTAACAGTTTTTCAAGGGAAAGTAGAACTCATCCAAAGATAATTAAGTTTTTAGAATCTTAGAATCTCAGAGTTGGAAGGTACTTCAGAGACCATCTAGTCCAGAGGTGGGGGAACCTGCGGCCTCGAGGCCACATGTGGCTTTCCATTTCCTCAAGTGTGGCCCTTTGACTGAGTCCAAACTTCACAAAACAAAACCCCTTAATTAAAGGAGTTGTTCTGTAAAACTTGGACTCAGTCAAAAGGCTGCACCCCTGCACCCAGAAGGCCACATGTGGCCTTGAGGTTCCCCACCCCTAGTCCAAACTGTTGGAAGAAGGATAGCACTCATTTGGATGTCCAAGTTTTGATATGTTTATTTAAAATAAACTTGCTCTACTTTAAAGATACATTTCATAATCAATCCTTAAAATAGAAAACTGATGGTTAGACAAATGAATCAGCAAAATAAACATCATTGGATCAATTTCTCAAAAAGTTATTAGGGGCCCTCAAGTCTCTCCCAAAGCCTTCTCAAAGGTCTCTCTGAAATCTTAATTTATCTGAACTTATTCAACAAAGATGTTACTTGTATTTTTCAATTTGTATAATAAAAATAAGATGGGAATTGTAAAGCCAGTGGTATAGTAATTATAAAAAATTATTTTGTGATTATTACAGTTCTATTCTGTTTAACTGATTTGTACACATTTTAGAAAAGCAGATTATAGTTGATAAAATATAAGGCTTGTTTTCATTTTTATTAAAAATTGAACACGAATTTGTTGTTTGGAAATGATCCCTTATCACATGTAGATCATATGGGACATGATTTCAACTTATAGAACCTTTTCTAGGAATGTAACCTGCTATAGCAGTGTAAAGATGACCTCTTTTCCATTTATTTACTTTAAAAATGTTTTTTTTCTTTAAAGCACATTGCTTTCTTTATGTAAAAAGATAAAGATCTAATAATTTGATTTTTAATATGAACATTTTAAAGCTTAATCAAAGTTTACTTTCTTTTTTAAACCAAGTTCAACATAGTTCCTACTGAGACTTTTAGGCCTTTGTAGAACATTATTGCTACATGGTAAAAAACAATACATTTGGAAGGAAAAGAGAAATAAAATGAGGGGGTACCCTTTTATGTCTCAACTACCACAAACAAAATCACAAACTGTGATTAGGACCAAATTGAGACATTTTGATTCAAGAGTATTTAATTAAGCAAAGGACCAGACTGAAATAAACGTTGCCTTTATTCACTACATTCCCAAGGTTCCATTATACCTACTGAGACAGATATATATGTGAGGAGTTTTCCTTATAAATTATACACATAGGGTTTCCCTGTAGTATAAATTTTCTAATGCTAAGTAAAATCTATGCTTCATCTGACGATTTTTTTATTTGGCTACTAAAATTTTTTTTTCCAATATGGATCCTCTGATGTTGAGTAAGGTTTGTGCTCTGACTGAAGGCTTTCCCACAGTCTTTACATTCATAGGGCTTCTCACCAGTATGAATTTTTCGATGTTGAGTAAGATCTATATGCCACCTGAAGGCTTTCCCACATTGGTTACATTCATATGGTTTCTCTCCAGTATGATTCTTTGATGTTGAGTAAGGTATGTACCCTGGCTGAAGGCTTTCCCACATTTTCTACATCCATAAAGTTTTTCTCCAGTGTGAGTTTTCTGATGTTGGGAAAGGTCTGTAGTCCACCTAAAGGATTTTCCACATTGTTTACACTCACATGGTTTCTCTCCTGTATGAATTCTTTGATGCCAAAATAAGGTGTGTATTCTGATTAAAGGCTTTCCCACATTCATTACATTCATAGGGTTTCTCTCCAGTATGTATTCTCTGATGTTGAGTAAGGTGTGTACTCTGGCTGAAAGTTTTCTCACATTTAATGCATTTAAGGGGTTTCTCTCCAGTATGTATTCTCTGATGTCTAGTAAGATTTGTACTTTGACTAAAGGATTTGCCACATTCATTACATTTGTAGGGTTTTTCTCCAGTATGAGTTCTCTGATGTTGAGTGAGATCTGTACTCCATCTGAAGGTTTTCCCACATTTGTTACATTCATAGGGTTTCTCTCCAGTATGAACTCTCTGATGTTGAGTGAGGTCTGTACACCATCTGAAGGCTTTTCCACATACCTTACATTCAAAGGGTTTCTCTCCAGTATGAATTCTGTGATGTTGAGTGAATTCTGCACACGATCTGAAGGCTTTCCCACATTCCTTACATTCATATGGCTTCTTCTCTGAACGAATTTTCTTTGATTTAATTGTGTCTGAATGATATTTGAGCCTCTTTCCACTTGTATCACATTTATCATCACTCTCTCCTTTAGGGACTTTTTGCTGTGTAACAAGGTCTGAACTCTGACTCACACTTATTCCTAATTCATTACATTTAGAACCTCTATTTCCAGTGAGGATTTTATTTTTGGTGAATGTCTTCTGACTCAAATTTCTCTCCTGGACCTTCTGAAGATTCCCTAATGGACCATCACTTTGTGATCTTTTACTCCTTGTGAATCTTTTCCTTATCACTTCCTGGGATGAGATTTCTTCAGAAATGCTGTGATTTTGAGTTGATTTCTTATTTTCAGGCTTAGTCTCCCACACTGAAGGAAATATGCAAAATGATCATAGGATGAGAAGGGATCATAAAGGCATATGGAAAGTTGAGAGTGGTGATTAATGGAACCGGAGGGTGACTAATTGGACAAAGAGCAGAACTATGGGAGGTACCTTGGGTTCAGAGTCCAGGTCTTACTTTATGTCTATATTCTTGCATTGTATTGAGAGGCAATGTGGTTTAGTAAATAGGTTATGCTGGACTTGGAGTCAGGATGATTTAGGTTTAACTCCCACCTTTGATGCTTGTTAGCAGTGTGGCCACGGGCAAGTCCCTTAACCTCTCTGAATCAGTTTCCTCATCTATAAAATGGGGATAATAAAAGTTGTCTGGAGTACCTAGTATACCTAGTTGTTGTGAGGCTCAAATGATATGATGTATGCATAACACTTTGTTTATAGCACTTTATTATTCTTGCCATAGGGGTCTGTCAAGTCTTATATCTAGTTCCTTGCTTCTTCCTAACAGTTCTGGACATTATTCCCAGATGGATGAGCAACAACTGCAGGTATGTGAGCATATTCCATCATGTCCCATCTCTCCTATACCCACTGATTGTAATTCAAGCTAACTGCAATCATGGCACCTCTCCTCATCCATCTGCCATCATTGCCTCCCTTCAGGACCAGTGTTGTACATAGCAGTACCTATGGGTGGCCAGAGGCCAAGGCATTCTTGCTTAAAGATCAAGTGGAGTCATAGCCTGATCAATAGTGCTGCTTTCTTGTTCTCTTGGATTTCCTGGATTGTGCGTCTTCTTCTACCCAAACTACTGGGGCTTATCTTTGTCTTATTATTGATATCAGCCTTTCTCTACTCAACTCTGACTGCTTGGTCCTCGGGTCACTGGCTGCATAGAAGTTTAAAATTAAAATTAAATTAAATTGTCCTAATCCTAGCCCTCCTTTGATCATCATTACTCTGTTTTTACTTATGTCTTCATATGACAATGTTATTCGCTTGGTGAAAAACCTCCAATGGCTTTATGAAGAAAGAAGTTTTATTTTGTGAACTTTGGGGATAAACTATAAGTCAAGTTGGATTTTGGCCTCTTTGAAGTGATGGGAACACTAAATATGTTTTTGTATTTTCTTGGTTAAGAGAAAGGAGATGATAGTTGGCTAAATGTTAATAACTATTGTGGGTGGAGAACCACAACATGACCCCCTGATTGACTGCCAGTGAGCCTGGGACAGGAAAATGAAGCAATGAGCCCAAATCAGACAGTCTACCTAAGTGACTGTTTGCTGTTTCTCATACAAGAAACTCTGTCTCTGTGTGGTTCTACCTCATTCCTGGCATTCTCTCCCTTATCTCTACCTCCTAGCTTCCTTCAACTCCTGGCTAAAGTCCACCTTGTATGAGAAGCCATTCCTCATTCCTCTTAATTCTAGTCCCCTTCTTCTGTTGATTATCTCCAACTTATCCTGTTTATATCTTGTTTGAATGTAATTGTTTTCATGTTGTCTCCTCCATTAAATTATGAGCTCCTTGAGAGCTAGGATTGTCATCCCCACCATTTAGCACAGTGTCTGGAATAGAGTAGATGCTTAATAAATGCTTAATGATTGACTGACTCACTGAAGGCAAAGTCACGACTTTCACCTAGAGCAATCAGGGGCTAGAGAAGACCTCTTGAATTTTAGTTAAGGTATCAGAGGACCAAAGATTTAGACCTGGAAGGGACCTTACATTATATACTCTAAACCTCTCATTTTAAAGATGATGAAACTGAGGCCCAGAGTGATTAACTAGCTCAAGGTCACACAGGCATTAAATAGTAGAGCTGGTATCTGAAGCCTGGTCTTTGTCGTTCCAAGTTCAGTGTTCTTTCCATTACACTGCACTTCTCCAAGAAACAGTTTAGAAACTTTATGTGCCACCAAGTCTGCAACTGGGTGGTAGATGAAGTATGATTTTATATGTAGTTGAAATTACTTTGCCATTTATATTAATTGCTAATTACTTAACATCTTCAAGTTTAGAGAGAAATCAAAGTCAGAATTCATTGGTTTATTGACCATGCCTAACAAGGTTTCTGCCTTCTATGGAAAACAAGTAGGGACTTACATATTTGTCACTGCTATCATACTCTAAATTCCATGGGGACCTGAAGCTGCTATATCCTATTGCTAATCCCTGACCTTCTGGATCAACTGGCACAAGTGATCCTTGCTATTCATAAATTGGACCTGTAGGGGGTCTACAATATGGTAAAAATTCAGAAAGGGGATGAATTGAATGAAAATTCAATGAAACAAATATTTAATTCAGTGGAGATTTTAATCCTGTGGGTAATAAGAAAAAGAATAGCCATCTAGCAATGAGAGTCCAACTGAAGTTAGAGAGGTCAAATTTATAGTGGACTCAGTCAGCATGGTTTTTATTCAATCTAATACCCTAAGCATTTATTAAGTACCTGCTATGTACAGGGCTATGTGTTGGGGACGCCAAAATAAAATGAAAATAAAAATCCCTTACCTCAAGGAGGTACTAGATGAAATGATTCATGATTTTTCCTGGAGCTTTTGCTGATTGAAAAGGGAGAAGAGAAACTAGATAGTAGGAGTAATCCACTATTGGGGTTTAGCAAGGTGAGAGTGTTTAGAAGGTGAAGGGAATAAGGGGGTCAAAGACAGTAAAGTGCCTTGTTGAAGTGGCTGACCACTAGATGATTAAGACTGGGTACAAAGTAAAGTAAGAACTGAATAATACTTCTATGTATATGACTCCCAAATTTCTATCTCTAGGTCTGGCCTTTCTACCAAGAGCTAGACTCACATTTCTAACCATATGCTAAATACCTCCACCTAGATATTCTACCAGTACCTCAAACTCAATACGTCTAAAACTGAACCTACTCTCTTTACTTCTAAACTGTTCTTCTCTTGAGCTTTCTTATTTTTGTCAACAGCCCCATTATTCACTCAGTGTTCTGTGCTTAAAATCTTGGTATTATTTGACTCTTCTTTCTCTTGGAAGAAGCTAACTTGATGAGTGACTGATTGAGTATAAACCTGCCCATTTAGCCTGGCTTGTTAGCCCTTGACCCCCAGAATATTCTCCACCTTCACATCTCATCCTGGCTATTCACAGGGAGCATCTTGCCATCTGTCTACCATTGCTCCCCAGTGAGACCATCACCTTCACACCAGACGTGGACCTCCAGAATCCAGACCCCTTTTCAGCTATCTCTCACTTTCTACCTCTTGCCCTGGTCATGGTAGTCAAATCAATATTACCACTGCTTCTGAAAAGGGCATGTCAATTCAGTGCCCTATAACATTTAACCATCTATCCCTATGACTCCCCAAACCAAAACTTTCTACCCCAGACATCAACTTAATTTATATGTTATCTCCTTGTTTTAGAGTTAAGCTTGAGTCAGAGATTGTCTCTCTATTTGTATCTGGATGGCTAGTGCTAAGCATTGGCCTTGGACAAGTGCCATGTACATAGAAAACACTTAATAAATGCTTTTTCATTAAGCAATTAATTAATTAATGCTCCTTCATCTCCACATCCCATTCTACCTCTACAACCATGATTGTACCATTGTATCCATGACCTCTATTTTTACTGCTACCACCCTAGAACAGGCTCTCATCCATGTGGACTCTTGTAATAACCTCCTAAGAGTTCTTCCTGCCTTTACTCTTTCCCTATAATGGCACCCCTCACTGCTGCAAGATTATCTACTACTTGTGTGATTCTCCGGCTAGATAGCTTTTTCTCTCTGGGCATTTATGACAATATTCTCCCTTGGTTCTCCTTCCATCCGTCTGACTATTCCTTTTCAATCTCCTTTGCTGGATTATCATCCATATTATTCCCTCCAACTGTGGTTGTACCCTAAGGTTCTGTCCTGGGCACTCTTCTCTGCTCTCCCTACATCCTCTCACTTGGTGACTTTATCAGCTTACTTGAGTTTAATGATCATGTCTATGAAGGTGATTCCCTGACTTTCATGATAGAAAGAAAGAAAAGAGGAGGACTGCCAAGCAGAGGGCACAATATAATTAAAGCCAGGATTTTAGGACAGAGCACAGTATCAATCAAAAATCATCACACATTTATTGAGTACTTACAAAGTGTCAGGCACTGTTAGGTACTAGGAACATAAAGACCAAAGTTTAATAGCCCTTGCCCTCAAAGAGCTTACATTCTAGCCTGGGAAGACAGTATGCACGCATAGAGGTATATGCAAAATAATACAAAGTAATTTTGGAGAAATGAGCTTAAAACTTGGGAAATCAGGAAAGGTTTCATGCAAGAGGCAGAGCTTTAACTGAGCCTTGAGGGAAACCAGAGGTTCTAAGAAGTGAAGAGGAAGACAGAGGGCATTACAGAAATGGGACAGCCAGTTCAAAGGGATAGAGATAAGAGATGAGGAACCTTATAAAAGGAATACTAAAAAAAAAAAAAAGAACATTTTGGGTGCACTAGGAAGAGGAGCAATGTATAAGAGCAGATTAGGGCCAGGTTGTGATGGGCTTTAAAAGCCAAACAGAGGAATTTGTATTTGACCCCAGAGGAAAAGAGAAGAGTTTATCGTGCTAGAGAAGTGACATGGTTAGACCTTTGCTTTTGGAAAATTACTTTAAGAGCTGGGTGGAGGATTGTTAAAAGGAGGGAAGAGACTTGAGGGAGGGAGACTAATTAGGGGGTTATTGCAATAGTCCAGCCTAAGAGACATTTTAAGGAAAGAAAGTACAAAGACTGGTGACAATTGTATAAAATGCTTTAAAGGACAAAAGCAGTAGGACTTGGTACAGGTTAGAAGTTCAGAGAAAGGAAAAATTAATATAGGCTAGAGAAGTCAGGGAAGGTTTCAAAGTGAAGAATTTAAAGACTTTAAATAGGAATTTTAAAAAATGAGGAAGGAGAGGGTATTCCTGGCAGAGGATAGAAGACATTCAATGCCACAATTGCAGGAAACAGTATGAATCATGAAAAGGATATGAAGAAGACAACCTCAAGAAATTCAAGATTGCAAGAGTTAATAAGAAAATGGCAACTGTGGAAGTAAGTGTTGGTTATATAATTGAAGGAATTACAAATGAAAGGGAGAAAAGGAAGGTTCTAGAGAAGAAAGAAATAATCAGAAGATTCAAGTTTTGGAGGAATCTAGGAAGGATATAATCCATAAGGTAGAAGACTGGTATGGTGTGTGCATCTGTAAAAAGAGGGGGTTGGATTATATGCTCTCTAAAGCTCTTTTCAGTTCTAACATCCTATAAAGCCTATGAGCCTACATTGAGGGAAACTTCCTATTCTGAAACAAAAGGGAAGGAGGAAAGAATAAAGGACAAGTACTTAGATGTACATTATGGCCCTACTCAAATGTTTAATGGATTGCCCCATGGAGTATGAAATGGAATAGATTGTTCAAAAGAGGAGAGCTAGGTCCCATGGATAAAGTTACAAAGAAGAGAATCCATCTCAAAAGAATGAAAAACTTGAGAATAGTTAGCAAAATGGAATAGGCCAACTCATAAAACAGAGAGTTTGACATGAAAAGCATTCAAGCCAAGGCAGGATGATCAAAGAAGGGATTCCTGCCCTGGGAGGGAAGCTGACAAGATGACCTTGAATGTTCTCTTCTACTCTATGATATGCCGCTGAGGTTCTGAGGAGACTCGTGCCAACTGGCCTAAGTTTTCTCCATAAGCTTGGGAGGTTTGAGGAATTATCCAAACAACATTTCCAAGATTCCACCCCCTTAATAACTGTTACAGTGATTCCCGTCTCCTTGGTTTTCATTTAAGGATCAGGAACTGAGGATGTTTAGCTTAGAGAAGACTTGAAGAATTATGATGCTTGTTTTCAAGTATCAGAGGGGCTGTCCTGTGGTCATATGTAAGAGGGATTAGACTTTTTCTGCTTGCCCCCACAGGGCAGAACTAGGAAAGGTGGGTGGAATTTACAGAGAAGGGTATCTAGATCTTATGTAAGGAAAAGTATTCAAATAATTAGAGTAGTGTAAGAATGGACTGGACTTCTCAGGGAGAGATAGTGCGTTCCCTTTACCTGAGGTTTTCAGAGCAGGCTGGATGGCCATTTGTTAAGCATGCTATACAGAGTGGGTTCGATTCAAAAACCTTAAAGGTCCCAGCAACTCTGAGTCAGTGATTCTGTTTTCACTTACTCACCTAGAGTTTTTCTCTTCACCATCCAGGGCTCTTTTCCTTGCTCCAATTGGGAGATCACATTGGGTTTGGAAACTTCATGTCCTGCTCATGGGTAAAAACAAGTACTCGGGCTTCTGTGCTGGGTATAAAGACTCATCCCAGGATTCAGTCCCAGCCCCTTGGTCTTCAAGATCTCTGAAGGATAAGGTAAGTGCAGTGCCATGGGAAGCACAATGAAGCCACCTATTTATGGATTTCCTATTTCTAGGTCCAAAGGGACCTAGAACTTCAAAGTCAAACCCAGCAAAACTCTTCAGAGGCCCCACAGGTGTTTAAGAACCATGAAAATAACAACAATTCAATAGACAGACTCTAAGTCACAGGGGAAGCCACCCTTACCCAGGGAGACCAGGTTCCTATAATTCTCCAGCATTACATCCTTGTAGAGGGCTCTCAGAGTAGGCCCCAGGCACTTCCACTTCTCTCGGGTGAAGTTCACAGCCACATCCTCAAATGTCACTGGTGCCTGAAATGGCAAACCCATTTCTGCTTAACCTTGGACCATCCCCCATTATGGCATCGAGGTGAGCTGGTAGCGGAGAAAGTGGATGGGCTTATATGTTCTGATTATATGAAAGTTTCTGAATGTTCCAAGTCAAGTAAAGTATTTACTGATTTGCTCTTATTAGAATAACTGTGCTAAAAATCTGTTGGAGGAATAAAGAAATATGAGACATGGTCTTTACCCCTAAGAAGCAATGTTTTCCCTTCAGGGAAAAACACCTACATGGCACAATTCATATCTAGTTATTGCTTTCTTCTATCCTCACTTTTAAATCCCCCCAATACTCTCTCTGTATTGGGTACATATATACGTACATACATACATACATACATACATACACACACACACACACACATATATATATATACATATATATATATTTACTTATCTCTTAACATATTGTTTCCCCCAGTAACGGAAGCTAATGGTAGGGACTATTTCATTTCTCCTCTGTATCTCTAGCACCTACCACAGTGCCTAGCACAAAGCAGGCATTTAATAAATGCTTGTTGAATTTAATTAAATTAATTTCACCCGGGTCCTTCCTGCTGCTTGGAAATTCCTTTACTCTTTTTTGACTATCCCATTGCCTACAGTAGTTGTTCCAATCCTTCTCTTTCCTCAAATCACCATTCTCACTGCCTTCCACTCAGCAGAATACCTCTTCATTTTACTGAGAAAATAGAGGCTATCCATTTCGAGTACTATCTTTTTTCTCAATTCTCCATCTCAGCATCTTCCCCCATTTTCTTCTCCTCCATTCCATTCACTTCAGGAAGAAGAGACCCTTTTTCTCGCAAATATCAAACACTCTGCTTTTGCCTTTGATACCATTGCTTTCCACTGCTCCTCTGAAAACCTATCCCTTTAATGACCCCCTCCCCCTCTCTATTTAATTGTCAGCTTGTATCTACTGGCTTCTCTGCTTTTACAAACATGCCCAGATCTTCTCCACCCTCAAAAACACTTTCCTGGATCTTAGCCTCTCCTCCAGCTATTGTCCTGTATTCATTGGAAAAGCTGTCTCTACTGGTAGCCTCCACTTCCTCACATGCCACTGGATCCTCAGGGCTGGAGGAAATCCTGGGCCCTTTTCTTTTCTCTCCTCGCTCTTTTGGTGACCTCATCTGTTTCCAAAGTTTCAATTCTCTATGCTGATCACTCCCAAATCCAGTCCTTATCTCTCTCCTGAGCTCCAGTCTCACATCACCAACCAACACATTCAGAAGAGAACTCATTTCCCTTTACAACCACCCTTCCTCCTAGCCTTATTCATTCTCTTTTCACCTCCATTTCTGTTCATCTGACAGGTCTTCCATATTCCACCTCCACATCATATTTCACATCAGTTCTCTTCTCTCCATGTACAGAGCTCCCAGCCAAATTCAGGTCTTAACCCGGGCTACTGCAGTGGCCTCCAGATTGGACTCTAGGCCCTCTCTCTTCTAGTCCATCCTCCTCATAGCTGCTAAATTGACATTCTTCAAGTACAAAAACCTCCCTATGGCCTCTAGGATAAGATACAAACTTCTTTGTTTGGCATTTAAAGCCCTTCAGAGTCTAGGTCCAGTCTCTCTTTGCTGATATTTCACACTGCTTCTCATGTATGTCCTCACTGTTCAGCCATACTGGGCTATCTCCTGTTTCTTGTCTGCACCATTCCATCTCCTGTCTCCATGAGTCATGCAGGCTGTCCCCACCATGTTCTCTCTCCTCAACATTTCTTTGGGAATCCCTCATTCCCTTCATTCTCCATGGGGCCTTTCCTCATCCCTCCAGCAGTCAGGGCTCTCCTCCTCCTGAAACCACTTTGTATGGTCTTCTTTGACACAACACGTTTAAATTCAGTGGGTGACCTCTTGGCAGGTAGGTAATGGACTAGGAATGCGGAATAAGAAATACACTAGGCATAGCCCATGTACTGATTTGTTTTGTTTGGCTACACTTATTAGGAAGGACCTCTACCTGAGGACAGAAGAGAGTCTGTGGGTAGCAATAGTGAGGCAAAAGAAAGAATAGGGGTTCAATGAAACATTAAGAAACACACAGGAAAGAACAGAAGGAGGTTCAGAAGGACAATATGTCAAATTTAATATATATTTAAAATCAGACTCTACAACAGAAGTGCGTGGTTTCATATACAATTCTCTTCTCTGTGCTTCTTAGTATACTGAAATGTTCATAGTTGTTGATGTTGCTAAAATAAATAAGAAAAATTTTTTTAAAAAGTGATAAAAATGGAGAGGGTGAAAGTTTTAATGTCTTTTTTCAGCAGAGTAGAAGGAGTTAAATGGAACATGAGTCTGGAGTTTGGATGCTGGTTAGGGCTTTCTTCTTTGGTAATTTTCCTGCTATATCTCCTCAGATGATGATGACAGAGCCAAGAAGAAGAGGTTTAGATTCTGAGTATCCTTAGGAACAATAGACTAGGCCTATTCCATCCCTCCCTCCTTCCAATGAAGAAATTCTCAGCCAGTTTCACTCCAACCCAATCCTTTCTGGGGTTTTCTTTGTCTCGATTCTTTCCAGGAGGACCAGCCTCTCTCCCTCCCTTGACACTTGTCCCCAGTGAGAGCTAGTTATTCCAGTGGTACCTTTCCTTCTGCGTGATTTGCCAAGGCCTATTCGGTGGAGAGAGCATGCCCATATTCTATGAGTTAGACTAGATGACCTTAGAGATTTGTTCTGATATTCTATCCCCTTCAGCACTAAGCAATTGGTTTTCCCTATCTGTCTTAACTGAATGTTTCTTATTCTTGTATAATTTTCATATTATGAATAACACAGTTAATTTGAAGGCCTAGTTTGTGCTATTAATCCCAAATATAAAAATTACTAGTTATGACTCTGGTAACTTATTATTTCATGGATATGTCATTCCCTACCCCCCCAAGAAAACTATAAATTACTTGAGGCAAAGAATTGTACTTTATACTTCTATTTTGGTTTGTTCATAGACCTTAATGCTGTTCTGAGCACTTCAAAGTTCTGAATGATTTGTCAAATGAGTGTGTGAACATCTGGCAGAAAGGAGAGGGCCATTCTTGGAAGGGACTAGGCAAATTCATTTATTCATTCATTCAACAAACATGTTATATGCTAGATACAGTGCTAGGCACTAGGGATACAAAGACAGAAAACCTAATAAACACTTGCTGCCTTCGAAGAGCTCTCTATAGGACACACTACTGGAGTTGGGGACTACGCCATGATTCCTTCATATATCAGAATAGCATAGCCTCCTAGGAGTGAACAATGGGGGCTAAAATTCCTGTGGGAGGGTAGTATTTTGTTGGGCAGAGAAGCTCCAGGAGGAGAGAAGGAAATATTCTATACTCAGAAATCTAATATTTTGGGAGAGAGAAAGGAACCCCAACTTACTTTAGATCTGGCTTCTATGCTCCAAGAAGCCATTCCCTCCTCTTCATTGGTGCTTTCCTCTTAAGGAAGGGTAGATTCTTGGAAAGGTAAAACTGGCTGGGGAAGAGGGCAGAGGAGGGGGGAGGAACCATGAGGGAAACCATTCTGCCTTGTAGATTCCACACTCATCAGGCTCAACACCATCATATACCAGTTGGATATCATCACCATGTTTTTAAGGAACATGGTGATGATATCCAACTGGTGTCCAAAGTTAGTTTAGAAGCAGTCCAACCCTTTTCCAGGGATAGAAAAAAAAAGGCCCAAGGATAAGGCTTCCTCCATTTGATACTCTGTCCTTGTGTTCTACCAAGTCCCAGGAGATAGAACTATATCCAATCTGAAATTCAGGACACATTTACTTGAATTTGCAGCTGTCCTCATGTATAATATGGGGTAAGAAATATATTCTTTCTCAGGTGCACTCATTTAATGAAAAAAAAATTCCTATTCCCTGTCCAGGCAAGCTGCTGAGGTCCTGGGAGAAAACAGCTTTATAAGATAAGATATTCAGCAACGATTCAATTCATAGCCAAGCTCCTATACAAAGCCTTCTACATGCATTGCCTCTACCTACCTTATATTCTCTTCTCAAACCCTTGCAATCTGGCTTTGACCCCCCACTTGACTTACACTGATCTCCCCAAGATGTCCAATAATCCTTAAATTGCTAAATCCAGTGGCCTTTTCTCATTCCCCTTTTTCTTGATCATAGAAGCATTTTAACACTGTCTACCACCCTCTTATCTTGGGTATTCTATTCTGCTTTGATCTTTTTGACATTGTTCTCTCCTGGTTCAATTAAATTCCATTCAAAACCTATCTATTCAATCAACAAGAATTTATTAATCACCTTATATGTACCAGTCACTAGTCTATATGGTGGGAATACAAAGATAAAATTGAAACAGTAATAGGGTTAGACACAAGGAGAGTTTTATCCACCAATTTAGATATTTTCTGGAAAAAGAAAAAGAATCCGTAGTTACCTTTACACCAAGACTGGGCTTTGGAGAATTTTAGTGGAGGGTTAATATTTTTCAAATTAATTTATAATTTAATGTAATATTAACCAAAATACTTTGTAGAATCAAATAAAATAATAACAAAATGTATATTTAGAAAAACATTACCTAAAAAGGCCAAAATTCAATGTTGGTGGAGCTCTGAGGAAATAGACTCTCCATTGCATAGCTAATGGAATTGGAAACTGATACAATCTTTTTACTAAGCAATTTGTGATCCAGAACACTCTTATTGTGTATTGCATAAAAACAGGGTTATATCTTGATCTAATAGATCAACTGTGAGGGCTATATCCTAAGAATATTTTAAAAGGGGGAAAAAACTTCATACAAAAATAGTCATAACTGCTTCCCTTGTCATAATGAAGACTTGAAATTAATGTATAGTCTAACAATAAAAAACGGTGAACATACTGGAGCATATCAGTGTAAAAAATATCATTGTATCATTAACATAAAAATATGAGAATCACAAAGATATATAGAAAGTTAAGCAAAGTGATGCAAAGCCAAGAAACTAGAATGAGAATAACA